AGCCAGCGGGTACTGGTCCAGCAGCCTGGAGGAAGCCAGCGGGTACTGGTCCAGCAGCCTGGAGGAAGCCAGCAGGTACTGGTCCAGCAGCCTGGAGAGAGCCAGCGGGTACTGGTCCAGCAGCCTGGAGGAAGCCAGCGGGTACTGGTCCAGCAGCCTGGAGGAAGCCAGCAGGTACTGGTCCAGCAGCCTGGAGAGAGCCAGCGGGTACTGGTCCAGCAGCCTGGAGAGAGCCAGCGGGTACTGGTCCAGCAGCCTGGAGGAAGCCAGCGGGTACTGGTCCAGCAGCCTGGAGGAAGCCAGCGGGTACTGGTCCAGCAGCCTGGAGGAAGCCAGCGGGTACTGGTCCAGCAGCCTGGAGAGAGCCGGCAGGGATCAGGTAAGTATCAGTTTGACCACTAGACCTGAACAAGCAGTTAACCCTTGCAGCGCTGGGGCAGTTCCCCAACAAGGGTAGTTTTTGCTTTGCCTGGGTGACAGTGGGAACTCCCATTAAGATCAATGTTTAGCCTCCCCAAACTGGAAGCGACAATCTCTGCTGAACCCGCCCGTGCTCTGTAGGAAATGAGGACAGCAACATGCAGATTGTCTTTGACCCATCTGGGCTTCACTTCTCTGTGTTTTATGTAGGGAACTCAGAGCGCAGCTTCAACCAGAGCTCCTGAACCTAATCAGACAGCAAAGACTCCATTTCCTGTGTGAGGGCACCAAGTTCAGGAAGGTCAGCACCCGAAGAAGGCAGGGTAAGAAACTACACCCAATTCACTTTAACTTCAGGTTTAGAATAGTCCCTAACATGGATTTTATCTCAGCACTCATCACTGGAACAGGAAGAGAAATGAAACTTCCAAATGTGACAATTGTCTAAGAAGGTCGTTTCCCTCAATTTGTAGAAACTTGCTTTCACTTCCTGTTGTGTCTCTGGGAAAGTAGGCGACACTAAACTTAGGAGTGAAATCTAAAAAATACATTCAAATACCTTAACAACAATGTATCTTATTTGTGTCACTCGGCTGGAGATCCTCCAATCATCTGGGACACCGTCCTTCCTTCTGGAGGGGGGCTACGTCTGTTCCCCATGACCCCTGTGTGTGTTGTAAAGTAGTCACCGCTCCAAGCCCCGCCCCCGGGATGGAATACAATCTCCATACAAATTAGCTAACTATAAAGATATTTCTCCAGTCCCTATCTGTATCTGCAAATGTCTATACAGTCCCTACAGTCCCCATGGGAATCTAAAATTACATTTCAAGTCCCTACTATGAGTATCTTGGTGGCACATATTGGACTAGTGTTCCCGGTATCGTTTCATGGTGAGCAATAGTTACAAATACATAACTGATAATGATAAAAATAGACCCAAATCCATCCAGTCATATCCTCAGGATGACGTCTGATACTTTGTTACAATGAAGGTGAATACAGGAAGCCGTGCAGAAGGCTGTGAATGGATAATAACGACATTTAATCCTACAGGAAAATAAATGTATTCCCTTCTTTCAGATAAGCTTTGGTTCTGCCGACTCTCCCCAAACCACAAAGTGCTGCACTACGGGGACCTCGAGCACAACACTGACACCCTGCCGATTGAAACACTTGCCTCAAAAAGTGAGAACATCTCGAGACTACAAAGCGGGGGGTGGGAGAGACGACGCATATGAGACATACAATATATGAACTATATAAGGGAGGAGGTGACAGATTATTGGGGTGTGGGGCTGTATACAGAGGAGGTGACAGATTATTTGGGTGTGGGGCAGTATACAGGGGAGGTGACAGATTATTGGGGTGTGGGGCAGTATACAGATGAGGTGACAGATTATTGGGGTTGCTTTTTTCCCCTTATATTGTTTGTCTTTAGTTGCAGTTGCAGATATAAAATGTATGATGACAGGAAAGGATTGTCCTCACATGAAGGAGAAGAGTTCCGGGAAGCAGAATAAAGTGAGTTCTCGGTATATAAAACTTTCCGAATAACATAAAATAATCTGTTCCGGTTTCTTTCATTTTTTCCTTCATTGCGCTGCTATGGAGGATTCCTATTCGGCTTGCTGTCTGGAGATCCGAAAAACCAGGAGTGGAATTTCCACCTAATCCTTGCCAGGGCGTATTGCAGCCAATAAGCCAAGATTAATCCTCATCAGGGTGCACTACAGCCAATAAGATGCCAAGGTTAATCCTGGTGGGAGCACACTGCAGCCAATAAGATGGCAAGGTTAAGCTTCACTGGGGCGCAGTGCAACCAATAACAAGCTAAGATTAATCCCCGTTGGGGTGTAATGCAAACAATAATACTTCCTTATTAATATAGTGATATCATCATAGAAATGTACATAGCCTGTGTGGAGAGCAGCGCTGTGGTAGAGACCCAGCAGACCCCTCCCACTACAGGTTGCCTACAGGAGGGGCGGAGACAAGACCAGTCACCCTGCACAAGAAGAGAGAGCAGCAGGGACCGGTCTTCATTACAGGAGGGGGCGGAGACAAGACCAGTCACCCTGCACAAGAAGAGAGAGCAGCAGGGACCGGTCTTCATTACAGGAGGGGGCGGAGACAAGACCAGTCACCCTGCACAAGAAGAGAGAGCAGCAGGGACCGGTCTTCATTACAGGAGGGGGCGGAGACAAGACCAGTCACCCTGCACAAGAAGAGAGAGCAGCAGTGAGAGGTCTTTATTACAGGAAGCTCCAAGTCTCACACTGGATAAGTGCACAGATCTGGAAGGAATACACATGACTCTTGTATGAGGACAATATTTGATCATCCTAGAGTACCGATTTAAGGAATGATGTCGGTAGAGAAGTATTTAGTCTGCCATTGCTTATGTTCGTTCTTTCTGATACAAAAGTATGTTGCTAGTGAAGTCAGGGTGAGATGAGAAATGGTAGAACGCTCTGTGCCAATATGTACACGAGTTGTTGTTAGAGGCAGTGAGCGGATTTCCTGATAGAGAAGTTTTGCACTTTTCTTGGTGGTGAAGCATTATGGGTAAGTAGGCCTGTGATCGAAGGTGGTGCAATGTATAAACTTTATTCATTTTCCTTTGCAGGATCTCATGGATCAAGCCTTTTCCATCTGCTATGAAGTGGACAGTTGTCTGAATTTCATTGCACCTTCCTATAATGAGGTAAGAATGAGCAGACGTTGTTAGATCGCACGCTGTAAGGAAGAGATAAGGCAGGAATGGAGGCGGACTTCTGTAGAGGAGATCTAAGGCAGGGATGGAGGCGGACTTTTGTAGAGGAGACCCAAGGCAGGGATGGAGGCGGACTTCTGTAGAGACCTAAGGCAGGAATGGAGGCGGACTTCTGTAGAGGAGACCCAAGGCAGGAATGGAGGCGGACTTTTGTAGAGGAGACCCAAGGCAGGGATGGAGGCGGACTTCTGTAGAGACCTAAGGCAGGAATGAAGGCGGACTTCTGTAGAGGAGACCCAAGGCAGGAATGGAGGCGGACTTTTGTAGAGGAGACCCAAGGCAGGGATGGAGGCGGACTTCTGTAGAGACCTAAGGCAGGAATGAAGGCGGACTTTTGTAGAGGAGACCTAAGGCAGGAATGGAGGCGGACTTCTGTAGAGGAGACCCAAGGCAGGGATGGAGGCGGACTTCTGTAGAGGAGATCTAAGGCAGGAATGGAGGCGGACTTCTGTAGAGGAGATCTAAGGCAGGAATGGAGGCGGACTTTTGTAGAGGAGATCCAAGGCAGGAATGGAGGCGGACTTCTGTAGAGGAGATCTAAGGCAGGAATGGAGGCGGACTTCTGTAGAGGAGACCCAAGGCAGGAATGGAGGCGGACTTCTGTAGAGGAGACCCAAGGCAGGGATGGAGGCGGACTTCTGTAGAGGAGACCCAAGGCAGGGATGGAGGCGGACTTCTGTAGAGGAGACCCAATGCAGGGATGGAGGCAGACTTCTGTAGGAGGAGACCTGAGGCAGGAATGGAGGCGGACTTTTGTAGAGACCTAAGGCAGGGATGGAGGCAGGCTCAGAGACAGGCCTCTCTAGGGGGAAGGTGGGGTTGGGGTGTAGGCAGGTCTCTGTAACAGGTATGTGAGGGAGGAATGAAGGCTAACCTCTGTAGGAGAGACATGGGGCAAGGATGGAGGTTGACTTCTGTCGGTGAGATGTAAAGCAGGGATGGAGGCTGACCTCTATGGTAAGGACATGAGGCAGGGACAGAGACTAGTCTCTGTAGAGGAGGTGTGGGGCATGGACAAAGAGGCAGCGATGGAGCCTAACTTCTGTAGGGGAGATATGGAGCAGGAACAGAGAGAAAGGGTGGGGCAGGGAAAGAGGCAGGCCTCTGTAGGGTAGACGTGAGGTGGGGTAAAGGCTGACCTCTGTAGGGGAGACATGAGGTGAGGAATGGAGGCTGACCTCTGTAGGGGAGATGTTGCATCAGGACAGAGATAGCCCTCTATAGAGGAATGGTGGGGGTACAGAAACTAGGGGAATTCTGAGTCAGGGATGGATGCTGACCTCTGTATGGGGAGATGTGAGGAATGGACGGAGATCAGCTTCTGTAGGGGGAAGGATGGGGATGGAGGTAAGCCTCTGAAGGAGGGGTGAGGCGGGTACAGACACTGACCTCTGTAGGGGAATTCAAAAGCAAGGATGGATGCCGACCTCTGTAAGGAAAGACGTGGGGACAGAGATGAGTCTCTGTCCAAGCAGGGTGGCATAAGGATGGAGGCAGGCCTCTGTAGGGGAGACATGAGGTGAGGAATGGAGGCTGACCTCTGTAGGGGAGATGTTGCATCAGGACAGAGATAGCCCTCTATAGAGGAATGGTGGCTGACCTCTGTACCATAGGGAAGATATGGGTTGAGGACATAGACCAGCCCCAGTGGAGGGGGCATGGGTCAGGAACAAGTCGGACCTTTTTCTGCCTCAGGTTTCCCCCTATAGAGGTCAGCTTCTGTTCTCATCCCACCTCTTCTCCACAGAGGCCAATCACGGCCAGCAAGGAGTGTGGGGAGAGGCTGATTTCTGTAAAGGAGAGGTGGGGCTAGGACGGAGGTAGGCTTCTGTAGGGGAAATGTAAGGCAGGAATGGAGGTGGACCACTGTAGAGATGTGTAGGGTGGGGATGAAGGAAGCAGACCTCTGTAGGACAGATATGCGAGGAGGGGATGGATGTGAATGGATGATGAACCTATTCTTTTTGTCCTTGTACAGTTCTGTCTGTGGCTGGATGGCCTTTATGCTCTGTTGGGGAAGGAAATGCCCAGTGAACGGTGCCGCACAGATCTAGATCTACTGCTCAATACTGAACTTAAACTCCGGTTACTGGACTTGGAGAATATTCAAATTCCAGAACAACCTCCACCGATTCCACCACGTCCTCAGAATTATGACTACTGCTACCACTTTACTTCTGCTGAGGCCTGACAGCCAATATATCACGGCATCCATTAGGAGAATTGAATGTTTCCCAAGCACGCATTATATGACTGGACCAATGATGGTGGAAGGGAGATAGAACATGTTTGTGTGTTGTACATATCCATGGTTAGTAGTAACACAAATACAATCTCCTGCTACTTCTCTCCCTGGAAGGTCATCATGCCCTGATTTGACTACTGCATCTTGATCTGGAAGGGAGCCATTTCTTGCTCTCATTACCAGACACCTCATCTAACCTCACTATAAATGGAGAAGTAGCGCTATTTAGAGGAGCAAAAATGTGCAATAATCTTTGTGAAATGACTTTGAAATATAAACTCCACATAAAATAAATGATATGCATGTGATATATGCAGCAGGTCTGTGCAATAAAATATGTAATGCATTCGGCATGGTACCGATATTCTTCCCTGTGTTATAGTTCTGAGCAGATACTTTGATACGGTATTTAGAATTGGGTTTGTGGCTGATGGCTGGACTGTGGTATATGAGACTTTGTGTGATGAATGACAATGCCGCCGTAGGCAGAACCAGAAATATTCCCAGCCAGCACGACCCTGTGAGCCTATTATTTGCACTAGACTCAGGATATCACCGCACCCTATGGGTATGCTCCCCGAAGCACTGCGTGTCCAAAGGGCACCAATCTGGAAGCGGTGAGGGGATAATGTAGCCATAAAGTTTGAGGAAAGAATCAGCATAAGAGTATGAATCCACTTAGGTCCATTACCTTGGAAGGGGGCGTATGGGCTATCCTAACAATTGCATGTGGCAGCATATAACCCAAGGTTCAGACTAGTCCTGTGCCCTGTAATACTCTTTAATGTCGATGTGAAAACAGATTACAATGACAAAACACCACAATAACTAACTGCATAAGTATACACCCCCTTTCATATGGAACACCTAAATCAACTGTGCTGCAACAAATTATTTTCTATATGTATTTGAGTGGGAATCACCTGTGTGTAGTCAGGGGGGCAGAGGTCATTATATTATACTGTAAATACTTCTGTATCCAGAAGGTCTGGAAAGTTCTAGTCATTCAGTAATGCAGCATAACCTTCTGAGTGGGATTAGACCTTGTCGGAATAGCTGGCCTCGGAGGAGTCTCATTTGTCCGCCATTACTCCCAAATAATAGAGACCATTTCGGCTCCTATTGATGAGGTTCGCAGCACCCAGACAAAGTGATATAACTCTCTTGGGGAGATTGTTCCTTTGTAACCCCAAGAGGTCCGAGGGGGGGTCTCCATAGTTCTGGGTTCATAGTTTGTGGGAATGAGGCTGGCCCCCAGGTCACTGTGTTTTCCATGACACCCAGCATTGATAAGCTGTACTTTATTTAGCTGATTGTAACAGATCAATGGCATCATACCAACAATTAGTGTAAATATGCTCTTTAGATGGCGCTATAAACATCATCCAATTTGGAGCCTGGCACTCTCTGATCTGGGGATGGTCTTTTCATATCCAGTTCTTAAATCCACACCTAATTTAAAACGCTGGACCTCGCTAGATTACTAATAAGAATATATTCTAATGTATCATTGAGGTACAAAGGACTAATGGCACACATTACCCCTGCTGAAGAAGCCAAATATCAGTGGTACTTCAAGTTTAGTTTCTATCAAATTGCAATTTCATGCTGCACAATAATCGATCGGTTATCAGACTGGAGAATGTGGTACAATATGGCTGCATAGAAAACTGACAGAGTGGGAGGGCCCGCCGGAATATCATAAAGTGCTTTATCCTTCCTGTCTCACACCCCTGGGCCCTTCTGAGGGGTGGGTGAGGGGCTGGCTAAGTGACGACCCTCTAGAAGGCCACAAAACCTGCAGCACGAGGCCACTGGATATCTCCATATTCAATAAACTGTGTATGAAGGAGGAATGATTGTGAGGTCCGATGTCTCTAATAGCACAGATTGGACTCTGAAGGTGAAACCTGTGTTAAGGACTTTCATTTCACTAATACTGTCTCTGGAATGTCTTCTCACAATATGACTTTCTGCGCCATTTTCTTCCATGAACCAATTTATAAAACCATTACATTTTATATCTTGCTCTAAATCAGAATTTAAAGAACTCTTGTTGCTGTCTGAGTGACAGTGGGGGGGGGGGTCAGTGTTTCCGGTGGTGGCAGCTATCGCGCAGTTACCCACCCAGTGACCTTCACAATCTGTGTGTCCTCATGACACCTCACACTACCAGATGGCCAATACCAATGGCTCTGCCATTCAGCCTCTGGTCTCCATCGTGGGGGGTTCACCAAGGTGCGAGCCCCAGTATAAGCCCTCCTGCTCTCTTGTGCCATCCCCATTGTGGGACCCTTGGATGAACTCTTGTTGATGGTACAGTCAGCGCCAGTTCTATTGGACAATGTGATGCAAATTGTCCAGACAATACAGTTCTGAATTTTCCTGATCCTTTAGAAATCATCCCGGGAACAAACCTGTTGTTTGGGGTATCGGCGTCTAGTCTTCAACAGCGCTCTGGCCACAGTGATGTTTCCACACAGTCACAATCTCAGATTCCAGCTGTCATATGGTTCTATGGTGCAGAGGCTGTCAGGTGATCATGTGACCCTGTAGGGCAGAGGCCGTCAGGTGATCATGTGACCCTGTGGGGCAAAGGCTGTCAGGTGATCATGTGACCCTGTCAGGCGATCCTGTGGGGCAGAGGCTGTCAGGTGCTCATGTGACCCTGTGAGGCAGAAGCCGTCAGGTGATCATGTGACCCTGTGAGGGAGAAGCCGTCAGGTGATCATGTGACCCTGTGAGGCAGAGGCCGTCAGGTGATCATGTGACCCTGTGGGGCAGAGGCTGTCAGGTGATCATGTGACCCTGTGAGGCAGAGGCCGTCAGGTGATCATGTGACCCTGTGGGGCAAAGGCTGTCAGGTGATCATGTGACCCTGTGGGGCAGAGGCTGTCCGGTGCTCATGTGACCCTGTGAGGCAGAAGCCATCAGGTGATCATGTGACCCTGTGAGGGAGAAGCCGTCAGGTGATCATGTGACCCTGTGGGGCAAAGTCTGTCAGGTGATCATGTGACCCTGTGGGGCAAAGGCTGTCAGGTGATCATGTGACCCTGTGGGGCAGAGGCTGTCCGGTGCTCATGTGACCCTGTGAGGCAGAAGCCATCAGGAGATCATGTGACCCTGTGAGGGAGAAGCCGTCAGGTGATCATGTGACCCTGTGAGGCAGAGGCCGTCAGGTGATTATGTGACCCTGTGGGGCAGAGGCCATCAGGTGATCATGTGACCCTGTGAGGCAGAGGCCGTCAGGTGACCTTGTGGGGCCAGAGACTGATCAGGTGACTCTGAGAGTCCCACCCCGCTAGAGAAGGGAGATAAATAGTGGAAGGAAGTGCGGACATGAAGGAATCTTTCATTTCCTATACAGATCACAGTGCGGCATTACTGAGTGTATAAGGTGTGCTGACGTCTTTCATGTCATCCGATAGCCCAGCGATCTGCATCAAAACAATGAGGGGAATTTATCAACAGTAAAGCAGAAAAAATCTGGCATAATTGTTCAAGCCGGCCAATCAGCTTCTGGCTTTCATTTTCAGAGCATAATGGAAGAAGCTGATTGGGTACAATGGGCAACTGCTCTAGTTTTGATAATGCACACCAGTGGCTCATAGATGATAATGGTATTCGCTGTGTCCTGGTGGTTACTTAAACCTTTTTATGTGTGTTATAGCCACAAGCTTACATTACAGAAGTCATTCTGTGGCCCTTTGGGGCCTAACCTGATGTCCTTTATATTCATCATATTGGTCATCAAAGATATGAAGAGACCAAAATTGGGGTTCGGTGGGGGGGGGGGGTCATTTAGAGGAGTCACAAGACTCCTGAAAAAGCTTCTATAGAAAATTAATGTGACCAGAAGAACGCAATCTGCACTACCCCGCCCTTCCCGAGTAACGCTGAACTCTTCCACCATACTGAGATAGCACGATAAAACTTCTTCCAGAAAAAAATTCCCTCACTTAAAAACTGAACTGCAAGGATCAACATGACAGCCAGGCAGTCCGCATTTGCAGAAGCGACCATCATACTCACATCTCCGTGGAAGACAAATACGGGAGAGATCACATGGCTAATGCGCCTCAATGTTGTCATGGTGATTATAGACAAATGAGATGGTTCTCATCCACGTGACTGCGCAGCGAATAAGGCTATCAAATGAATTGAGGGCGGAAGTGAACATACCTGTAGGTGGATAACGTCATTGCAGTGCGCCGGATGTTCGGCGTGTGCTGAGCTGGATATGATCGGAAGAGATGGCGGTGAGAGAACCGAGAGAAGAGCTAATACAGGGACTTATGACTGACCACTACACCTTGTTATCCACCTCATTGACCCCTCCCCCTTACTATTCACTATCCACCTCACTGACCCCCCTTCTCTTACTAGCCACCTCACTGACCCCCCTCCCCCTTACTATTCACTATCCACCTCACTGACCCCTCCTCCTTACTAGCCACCTCACTGACCCCCTCACTATTCACTATCCACCTCACTGACCCCCCTTCCCTTACTAGCCACCTCACTGACCCCCCTCCCCCTTACTATTCAATATCCACCTCACTGACCCCTCCTCCTTACTATCCACCTCACTGACCCCCCTCCCCCTTACTATTCAATATCCACCTCACTGACCCCTCCTCCTTACTATCCACCTCACGTACCCCTAACCCCTTACTATCCACATCGCTATGTAGAGTACATGGTAAGGAGGAGGGGTCAGTGGGATGTAGAGTAGATAGGAGGCGGGGTCAGTGGGGTGTAGAGTAGATAGGAGGAGGGGTCAGTGGGATGTAGAGTAGATAGGAGGCGGGGTCAGTGGGGTGTAGAGTAGATAGGAGGAGGGGTCATTGGGATGTAGAGTAGATAGGAGGCGGGGTCAGTGGGATGTTGGGGGGCAGGCTTACCTGAGCAGTCTTCCAGCAACTTGCTTCTGAGATTGGGCCTGTCTATCGGCGGCTGTCATCCACCCACACCCTGCCGATCGTGGATGTGAGCGTGAGGCGGGAAGGAGGTGCGGCGTGTAGAGCGCGGATGCGGGCGGGTCTGGCAGTGGTGAGCGTGAGTTGGGGAGGAGGTGCGGCACGCAGCGTGTGTGGAGCCGTGACCAGGGCCAACTGATCGGAAGCCGATTAATCGATTATTGAAAACGTTGACAACTTTTTCAATAATTGATTATGTCGATTAGTTGTTGCAGCCCTAGATGTAGAGTACATAGTAACGAGGAGGGGTCAGTGGGATGTAGAGTACATAGTAAGGAGGAGGGGTCAGTGGGATGTAGAGTACATAGTAAGGAGGAGGGGTCAGTGGGATGTAGAGTACATAGTAAGGAGGAGGGGTCAGTGGGATGTAGATAGGAGGAGGGGTCAGTGGGATGTAGAGTACATAGTAAAGAGGAGGGGTCCGTGGGATGTAGAGTACATAGTAAGGAGGAGGGGTCAGTGGGATGTAGATAGGAGGAGGGGTCAGTGGGATGTAGAGTACATAGTGTGGAGGCGGGGTCAGTGGGATGTAGAGTACATAGGAGGCGGGGTCAGTGGGATGTAGAGTACATAGGAGGCGGGGTCAGTGGGATGTAGTAAGGAGGAGTCGGTGACATTGATCCTCTGTGTCCCTCATTGGATGAGAAGAGTTTGACGTGTGTCACTGTTGTGCGTTTCTCTTTGCAGTCTAAAGGAAAAGTCGGGACGAAGGGGAAGAAGCAGATTTATGCGGAGAACAAAGAGACGCTGAGCTTTTACCTTCGAATCCTTCTGGGGGCCACTGTGAGTGTTCTGGGGCCCCTGTAACTGTTCCTGGCCCCGTGTGAGTTTTTCTGGGAGCCACACACCTTCCAGCCTGATCTCTGATAGGATGAGATAAGAAGGAACATTGATTGGCGGTGTGTTCTGTGCCATGTGATCAGATTGTATTGATCGGTGATTGTGACGTCTGTAATCACTTTCTTATCGATCTTCTGATCATCTCTCTGCATATTTCTCCCTCATTAGGCTTTATATGGAGCCGTCAGTCTGGGGTTCTTCTACAGTTCATCCACCTTCTGGAGCTGGGTAAGTGTCCTCTTATAATCCGTCACACAACATCGAATGTGATCTCTGATATTTCAGGTCCGGGGGGGTCACACAACATCGAATGTGATCTCTGATATTTCTATCATCAGGGTGGTACCAGATCTCTAAAAAACTGTTAGAAGTAGCATCTCGGGTTCTTCTGTGGGCGGAGGAATCTCTTCCTCCACATAAAGGGATCCTCCAATCCGGTGGTGGGCTATCTGAGTTGGGCTCCTATTGGTCAGGGGGAATGGGATGTCTTCTCTCTGATTGTCAGCCATTGGGTTATCAGTAGTGAACCTTGTTGCCACGGGGAAACCCAGGAAGGTAGAAAATTAGGGAAAGAGATATTAGGGGCATAGACGCGTTTCCTCAGAGTTAGGACTTCCCTTTAGTTTAGGCTTTTCCTCTTCTTCCTCGAGTGGTACAGAAGCAAAGTCTTTCCAATTGCAGACTTATATCAATCGCTCCCTGGCGGCCAAAGAGGACGTGGTTCCCGGAACTAAAGAAGTTCAATTCAGAGCCCATGGCATCTGCCCCTCCATCAGAATCTTCTTTTGCAGGGGCCAGTCCGGCATCACAATCCACAATTGTTTCAGTTGACGGCATGGATATCGAGAGGAGGAGCTTAGAGAAGAAGGGCTGCTCTCAGAAAGTTATTGAGACCCTTCTCTCCAATAGGAAGCTAGTTACAAGAACAATTTATACTAAAGTATGGAAGGTCTTTTCATCCTGGTGTCTCCAGAAAAACATCCCGATTCCGTCAATCCCAGTGTTACTGGATTTTCCTCAAGAAGGGGCTGAGAAAGCGTTAGCAGGTAGCACCCCAAAAGTTCAGATTTCAGTATTTCTTGACATAAAACTATCAGAAGATCATTTAATCAGACAATTGTATTTTTCTGGCTACTGAACACTCTGCCCATACAACAAAACATTGCACCACCTTGGGTCCGTCTTTTGTCCTTAGAGGAATTAGTAAGGAACTTTTTGAACCAATCGGGGACAGTTCTATTAAATGGTTATCCTTTAAAATGTCTTTTTTAGTAGCTGTAACCTGAAGAGTGCTTTATCCATGAAAGACCCGCCTTACCTTACAATTCTTCCCCATAGAATTAGACCAGATCCTTTATATCTAGCTGAGGTAGCGTCTTCCTTTCACTGATCCCAAGAAATGATTCTTTCATCCTTTTGTGAGACTCCAAAGAATGTTGGGGAAGAGATTTCATACACTGGATGTTAGAATGGCGTCTTCTAGAGATTACAAAGGAATTCAGGAGATCTAGTCATATGTTTGTCTTATTCAGCGGGTCCACTCAAGGTCGCTACCATATCCAGAGGGATAAGACATTTCCCGGGTTTACAAAAGAGAAGGAATGGATTTTCCAACTGAAAACTCATTCTACTATTTTTCTAGCAACCGCTTGGGCAGCAAAGGCAGGTGCTTCGGGGAACCAAATGTGCAGAGCAGCCGTATGGTCAAATCAGGACCCCTTTGTAAAGCATTACAGGGGTGGAAGTCCAATCGCAACAAGATTTGGCTTTCAGCAGAAAGGTTCTTCAAACGGTTGTCCCACCCTAAGGTGTGCTTGGTGATTCTATCTTGCTTATCTCAGGTTGCTGTCCTGGAAGATGATTGGGGGAAATCCCCAGTTAGACTTACCAGTAATGCAGTTTCTGAGAATCTTCCAGGACAGCAAGCCTACTTCCCACCCTTATGATATTTCATGTTGGTATTATTGTTTTCCTTTCGTGCATTGGTGGAGGTATTCTACTTTTTATCTCAAACTGGGGGAGGGAGGGGCTTTTAAACCTTCGTTGATTGTGTTTAATGTAGACAAAAGAGCCAATCATCTCTCAGGTTGCTGTCCTGGAAGATTCTCAAACTGTTAATTACAACTGTGGATTTCTGATATTTCAGGTCTGGGGAGGTCACACAATATAGGGATGTGATCTCTGTGATGTGTGGGAAGGGTCACACATGATAACATCCTCCCTCTCCTTCTACAGGTCTTCCTGGTGTTCAGTGCACTTGTGTATGCAGTAGCATATCGCTCCATGCGGGGGATGGCCCAAGCATCCTTCTCAGAAGATGGAACCTTGCTGGATGGAGGAATTGACTTAAACATGGAGCAAGGAATGGCTGAGTGAGTATTTTTCCACCTTTCTAAACGGTCATTATATATTGTTGTTCTGAGCTTTTCACCTCTTTATGGGTTTTTTTTCTTCTTGGATCTTTTATAATGAATCTTGCTGATAGAAATATTCAAAGTCAATTTTAAGGCGGTGTGCAGTACAAATGTGGGAGCACTGATTTAAATAGGGCTGTAATAGTCATGATCTCTAGCATGTAATGTGTCTGCAGTCTTTGGCTTTCTCCTAAAGCATAACCGCAGTCTCCAACAACACCCATAGCATATCTGCAGTCTCTGACCATCTCCTGTAGTGGGTCTGCAGTCTCTGACCATCTCCTGTAGTGGGTCTGCAGTCTCTCACCATCTCCGTAGTAGTTCACTCATTGTCTTTCCCAATCATGTATATTTTTCTCTTATCATTGCCTTACCCAAGCTATTACTTCTAACATTGTAACTGTCAGTTGTTGGGAAGGGATGCTTTAGTGGGTCTGCAGTCTCTGACCATCTCCTGTAGTGGGTCTGCAGTCTCTGACCATCTCCTGTAGTGGGTCTGCAGTCTCTGACCATCTCCCCTAGTGGGTCTGCAGTCTCTCTCCCACTGTGTAGTAGTTCACTCATTGTCTTTCCCAATCATGTATATTTTTCTCTTATCATTGCCTTACCCAAGCTATTACTTCTAACATTGTAACTGTCAGTTGTTGGGAAGGGATGCTCTGCAGATGATGTAGATGCAATGAGTAGCTTCAGACTGAAATGTGGAAAATGCTGGGCAGATTCTGATTGCTCGGTCCATTCTCGTGTACTGATATACTTTCACCCTCTTCTCCTCAGACATCTGAAGGATATGGTGCTGTTGACGGCCATTGTGCAGGTTCTGAGCTGCTTTTCTCTCTATGTCTGGTACTTCTGGCTGCTGGTGAGTATTTATTGTTTGCACCTTGTTTTCATGCTTTGGGTCACAGGTGTTTCTAGAGATCAGTACTTGTTCAGTCATTATTGCTCTGTTGATTGCAGCACAGCTTTCAGATTTATTAGCTTCATCATGATCTATTCCAACTTGTGTCTCGAAAAGGAATGTTTTTTGTTTAGTGATGAGAACTGCACCTATTGACTGGATGGATGTGGAAATTGAGCTGTGGCTTCCGGCGCTGTGAGAGTGTGTCTTTTACTGCAGGGAACTGTAGTCTGAATGGACACCACGGGTACATGTACAATGGTGGTTGCCCTGTGCATGCTTTGGCTCTCCCTGTGTCATGGCTATTTTAATATTTTCAACAGTGCAGGGGTACCCTCATTTCCACAAGTGTGGGGGGGGGGGGGGGGGGGGCCAGCTCTTGTCG